CAGCCGACCTTTGTGATATAAATGATACCGTGCAATCAGTCGACCTTATCGCCTGAAGAAGACTAGCAGTAAGCAGTCGAAACGTCGCGATCTACATCGTGAGACAAACGATAATACACTTTATTTATTTACACGATAATACACTTTATTATTACATCTACCACGATGAATAACAACAACCTTTTCCTCGACATTGTTTTTCGATCTTTTAAAAGAATGAGTCAGGCAAGGGGGCAAGCTATTTAACAAATAGATTCCCTGTTGCCGTGCGTCTGTTCAGTATTAGTATAATTCTACCAGCGTTCTATCACGAAGGCTGTTCTCTGACTGGCTACGCTACTCACTATCTATTCTATGATAGATAGTTAGTAGCGTAGCAATATTCGGTTTTTAACAAAATGACGGCCGCTTCTTTGCATTTTCGAGGTGTCTGTGAAGCGGTTTTAGATAAAGTCTGGCGATTAGTAGACAATTAGATTATTCGCTCTCACGCGATAGAAATCTCGAGCTCATAATCTAATCGTTTATTAGTATCACCCAACTAGTGGACCAATGCAAATCCTGCATTTTGATTGGCTACGCTACTAGAGGTCTATTAGTAATAGTCCTCGAGTAGCGAAATTNAGCCCTTGCGGGCTACGGGTCTAATTGTTAAATAGATCACAGATGACGTCAAAATGAGGTAAGAACAAATACGTAGCGCACGAGGCGAAAGCTGAGTGTGTCACTGATGTTCTTATCACGTTTTGACGTCATCTGTACTCTATTACTGAACAGACGCACGACAACATAGAATATATCTGTTTTATATAACAAAGAAACAAACAAAAAAAGATTCCATTGACGTCATTTATACGTTTGTCCGTCCGATAGATCATAAGCACAAACAATTGTTACAATTGTTACAATTGTTACAATTATTATTCAGAGCCCTTAAGGTTAGACCATCTAACTTTTGAAGGGGAGGGGGAGGAGAGGGATGTGGTGAGGGTGATCTGGTACAGGCACGAATATTTGTAAAAAAAACCGTTTGATGCGAAAGTAAATGCTTTACTCGGGACGTGTGCAAGCCGAGCACGATATTTTTTCCCCGTGCAACATACATGCCTTTTCTCGGCTCTCTAAACTTGCGTAAATGTTTTTTTCGGCATTGATCTTTTGCTTGAACTTTTTAGGTACAAGTATGCTTGCAATCTACTTTTTTTTTCAAAATCACCCACCCCATCCCTAAAAAGTCAAATGGACCACCCCCAAGGATTAGCGTTACATTTTCATCCTTCATACCGTTTCTTTACTTCCTTCGTCAAATGCCGCATCCACAAACAGTAACCCGAGCGGCATTGAAAACACGGTCTGCATGTTATCAATACACTGCTTCCAGCGATCACTTGTCCTGTTCCCTGTTATGGTGACGACATACTCGTCGTAAGCATCTCTGTACTTCTTGGGCATCATTGTAACGAATTTATTGATGACCGTCCACATAATGTAATTGACGAACACCACTGGATCTCTAAATCATAAAGAACCGACAGAATCAAGTTTGCACTTGTCAATGATGAGCCCGTGCGTGGGTAGGAGGGATTGGGGTTACCGATCGAGGCGATACCAGCAGGCTGGTCGAAAGGGGGGGGAGGGGGGGAGAGACGGGGGTCCGGAGATATGGGTACGCGTTTCTGGGTCGTCCGATGCGGTGTTAGGTATCTTACCACATCTCTTTTTTAACTTCATTTATATGTTAGCATACACTCTCTAAACGCACACTCTCTAAATGCACCTCTTGGTAACGGCAGAGTATTTTCTGAACATGTTAGAAAGACAAAACAAAAGACAGTCAAAAGTGAGATTAAAGGACAACTTGCTGTGTCCACCACTTACGATGTGGTCATGTTTTTGTAGAAGGAGAAGAGACGGCCGTAATACGTCAGAGGGTAGGCGACAACTTTCTCGTCTTTCGTGAACGTACGGTTGGTTCTAGCGAACACTGCGTTTACCAAGGAAACAAGTTGGTTAAGCTGCAGAAATTCAAAACAAAACAAGCAAATAACAGATTATTTAACAGTAACTGTCCCTACAAAATACACGTTTCAACTCCGCATTTTTCCAACTAAGACTTGACTCTTTTTATCGAATTAAAATCACTCAGGAAAGCCATGTCGGGGCAAAATTGGACTTAAAGATTTACTGCGCATGCTACTGAGTTTTAACCTTTAGCACTTGGTTAAGCAAAGTTTAAGCCGATTACCCCGGAAGAATAGTAGGGAACTTTAGTTTCCGTTAACCCTTGTCGCCCTTCCAATTCTCCTTGGGGTGAGTATTATGGCCTAAACATTACGCTAAATTGGAAATCACTAACGTATAAAGGGACTCTTGGTGACGCGCAAAAGTAATGCGAAACGTCTTGTCTCTTGTGACAAGTACCTGTCACTCTAGATCTCTCAAACGCCTGTGCCACCTGTACAGTCTTCTTGCCTCTCTTTCTCAAAACACCATTTGTTGTAATACTTGTCATCTTCAAACTTACATCCGTTTTAGAGTAATTACTGATTTCTTCCAGTGTGTTCCTCAGGTCAAAGTCTATCATTCCAGGCAAGAGTTCTTTTTTTAATGTTTCTATCATGTTGCTCTCGTCCACGTCTTTTTCCAGCTATTCGACAGAAAGAAGAAATATATGGAATAAGCCCAATTAATTTAACCAAAATGGTCTGAGCTAATATCCAGGAGCAACAGTTGAGGAAATACATGCACAGAAATAAATGTCCCACTCCCTTATTTAACAACTGTGAAAGAATTTGAAGGCTAAATCCCCGCGCACCACAATTATTTGGGACACTTGCGCCCGTACGTGTCGGAACAAATTCATCGACATGTACGTTTTCGCCTCTCAGTTTCCTTCTGTTTTCATCAACTTGTTAGTGTAAAAATTGACTGGAGAGAGTGGAGAATTAAGAACAATTTAAACACGAAAGGAGCATCAGTGATTTTTAGAGGAAGTGAAGAAGAATTTCAGGCGAACGTTCTTTTTTTAAATCGTTGTTAACATACCATTGCCAACTTGGTCTCGAATTCATAAACTTTCATCATCTGTTCGTCCGAGTCAGGGCCTCCTCCAAGATACTTAGCGATTTTCTTCATGTACGTCTTGTAAGCCTCTCGAACCTTTAAAAGGAAGTCAGAAACGTTATTGATAGTAGATATGGTCTGGCTGTGTAGAAAATCTTCAAACTGATACGTATCTGCAATTTTCTTGCTTTTTGAGCACAACGTATCTTCTTACTTACGGTCCGATAATCCGACGTATTGTGTGTGTAGTGGGTCTTGCGCATTCCAAGCTCTCCCGGTCCAAGCTGAAAGGAAATCAAATTACAAAACAATGATGTAAAATAAAGCGCATTTTCTTTATCTTCCTCTCCCGCCACCCTTCGACAACAGTTAGTTCCACTGCTGTTCTACTGATATAGTCTGATTGGCTAAGTTGTCTGTTTTTCTCCAGGGGGAACCTTCCATGTAACAGGGATAGGGGTACTTCTCAGAAAATATTAATGAAGAACCCCTCTCAAAGTCGGCCAATCTTGGTGGGGCTCAAGCGTTTTGGTCCCCCAAAAGATACCATTCTACAAAACACAGACATACATGTATAAGAATTACATTGACTTTTAGGGGGGTCTCAACCGTCAACCGTCAAACGGGCCGAAAAAGTGAGGAAAAAGTTCACCGCCAGCCGTCAAACAACGGAAAAAGGAAAATTTAATCGATAAAACATTGGCGTCTCGCCATGGGCGCCCTAATTTGTGATAAAACGTTTCGAAATTGACACTCTTAAAGAAATGACAAACTATCTCGCCCCTTTAAAATGGGCCTCTCGTTCTTTAACCTTCTTAACCTTCCCCATGTCTGTCCTGATTTGCGACAAGGCTGACTGACGCTGTGAACAGTTTAATCCGAAAGAGGGCACTTTTGGCTACTAACCACTAGTATGACGAAATTTGTTAAAAAAAAATAATAATAATAAATCAAACAAGTCTCACCTGAAGAATGTGTTTGTTTGAATCATGGGGGTCGATGAACACTCTGATGTCAATAAATGGCTTGCTAAACAATTCACTCGTTACTTTGCCAATCCTTTGGGTAATATTCATGGACGAGAGAGGCGTCATGTTACCCGTCACATTCCATCCTCCCATGTCATCAATTAACTTCAGCAGCGGACCATCTCCCTGTGCTTCAACAGCCGTTTTGTTCAGACAGATGTTATAAAACTTGACGGTCTTCATCACAGCCTCATTCTGGTAAAGAAATTGGGGAGATTCTTCTTTAAACAGACTGCCTCGAGGCGGGTTTTAGGCAGAATCAGAATAAGCGTTTTAAAGTAAAATCGTGTGCGCTTTCTACTGAGAAATTGCGTAGTTTTCCGGATAACTGTCGTGCCATTAAAACTATCGTATACATACCAGAGCCGTACCTAGTAACAGGAAAACCGTGGCACTTGTCTCAGTCATCATAAACACCTTAAACGCCCAGGAAGAGAATTTAACCATAGACATTGCCACAGTTATAATTTTTTCAGGGGCATTGCCTCAATCAGAATTTTTTCTGGCTTTGGCCCTGCTTACCAATAAACTAAAAATGTCGAATGTAGAAAAAGAACGTGCAAATCACATGACAATAGACCATGTTCGTATTCTCGCTATTTGACTGGAAGTATCTCGTAACTGAGGCTCAGGAGAGAAAGTCCTTTCAAAAGCAAATGACATTTAACTCTTTTTTAATGATATTCCCCCGCATGAGCCTCGACTGCAAGCTAGTGCCAGTCCAATACCGAAAATCTGCAAGTAGTCTGTTGGTGGCGGGTTGGACGTGACCTTCAAGGCTGAAAATCTTTAACGCCATTCTCACTAGTTTAGTATTTTTTTCACGAGTTTAGAGTTAATTTTGTAAAGCAAAACAAAGAAAACCAAATTAAGCCCCAAGTGACCCAAGCTGGCAGAGTTTCGTTAATCCCGGCATAGTTAATAGAGGGAACTGGTTATGAAGCCCGGTAAACATCAGAGAAGCAAACAAAGATGCCAAGATTTATGTTGGAAAGTGCACGACCGTGCACAATCTTCTTTTATTTTTTGCGCCCATACAACGTTTCTATTGGTTAGTGTTTCGGTCAGCAGTAAACAACTATTGTGTTTTGTGTACGGTCAAGGCAAAAAGAGAGAAAGAGAAAAAAAAACATGCAACAAAGAACTTTGTCGAGTTTCATTACCATTCCCATCTATTTCAATAGATAAAACTATGATCTCGGTTTTAAGTGCTTCTGTTTTCCTGTGACTTCTTCTTCGCCTCTTTTCTCGGTGACAATAAATTGCATCACCCAAAATTACCATACGAAGGTGATAATCATATCTGTCATCAAGGCAACGTCTAGTCATAACACCACCCCGCTTCCTAGCGCCAGAAATGGAGTATTACCCAGAAGTCAGCTTCACGAGTATAAAATATACTACCAAAATTCAAGCATTTTCTTACAGAGGAGTAGTTTTTCTCGGCATTCTCCAGTGCTTGTTTCAACACATTGAAGCTTTTCTCTCTAACCAGTGAGAATCCAGTAACTGACGTTTCTCCAGGCTCCAAAGCATTCTCAGTTTCCCAGCCGCCACACACGTATTCGTAAAAATCAGTACAAGGATCGGCGCTCTGGTTGAGCTGCTTTAAAGCATCTGAAAATGAGAAAATGTAGGTAGCTTAGCTTAGCTTAGCTTAGATTAGCTTAGCTTAGCTTTCTTTAACTTAGCTGAGCTGAGCCCGGCTCGGCTGAGCTGAGCTGAGCTGAGCCGAGTTGAGCCGAGCCGAGCCGAGCCGAGCCGAGCCGAGCCGAGCTGAGCCGAGC